TAAAAAAATTATAAATAAGTTAAATATTCTCTTAGACAATATTTGCGATATAGGAATGTAAAAAATTTTAATCACCCATTGGCCAGTAGTTTGATTTAAATATTCATTGCAAATATGTATAGATATAGATGAATGAAGACCTATAAAAACTAATTTAAATATTTGTACGAGAATAACACATAAAATTATATAAAGCTCATACCGGATATTAACCGATAGTATACACGTTTTTCGAAACAGACATCACTATCGACTGCGTCAGGCTGATTTGCAATCTTATTAAATATCCCTGCTAAATTACTTTTTTTGAGAGGGGAAGAAGGTAGGCTTTTACCTCCTAAGGAGTCGGTTGTTTGAGCAGTGTTAAAACAATTCTCTTCGTATATGGCTTTCCACACGCGTCCAGCGGAGGATCCAGCATAACCTGTAAATCGTTCAGGATTTTCGAGAAGATTGACAAATACACTCTCTAAAGATGATAATATATCATTCATTTAAATATTGAACGCTAAAATAACATTATAATGTACAACGTTTTTATTACCTACGTCTGCTTCATCTTCCACCACACAAAAATCTTGTTCTTTGAATTCACATTTTTTATAAGGTTGAAAAAGCTAGAATAACATGATAAAGATATTATTAATAGATAGAAAATATAACAGAATAAAATTATATTTAAAGAGCTTACTGGTCCAGCAGGTGACGTTCGTAGAGCACCAAGAACATCGCTGCGCCACATTTCTGGGACATCAGTCTATTTTCGTAAATATGAATTAGATAATATTAATGCAATTCATGCTTAATTAATTTGATCATACCTCATCAATAGTCTCTACCGCACATGCTTGATTTACACATTGACCATATTCTGTCCAAAATGGACATTCTTTATAAAGATTGAGCTAAGGTAAAAAAGTGTTAATGCTTAAGAATTTTTTTTGTTAAAATAAAAAAAAAAAAAAAAAAAAAACCTTATAGTATTTGAAAAAATTGGTTTTAACTAATTCTTGTAATTGTGGAAATAATTCATCATTTATCTTTTCTACTGTCTTATAACCACAACAAGCATCACTGATAATTCCAGACAGCTGTAAGAAAATAAGTTAAGAACAGTTAAGATTTCGAAATATAATAATGTTTGGGGCTTGTGTCGCCGAATTCTCTAGCACACCTCAAATACATTGAGGAAAAAAACTAAAATACGGATCGCTCACTCACAGAGCAGTAATTTTTTTCTGAAGTTTTGTCCAGCAAATTTTCCATGAACTCAGATCTAGGTGGACCTAAACCTGATTGTAACGCGGAAGTAAGTACTCGACAGGTTGAAAACAATAACAGAGGCACTACTATGAAAAGATTTTGAGTAAAAGATAGAATTTGTCTCATAGCTGTAAAATTATGAAAAGTAAGAGAAGACTATTGCTATGACAAAGAAACATGAAACAAAAAGAAATTGGGTATTTTGAAATTAAGGAATGAAACTTCAATAAATACAATTTTTTTTAGTACAGTAGTTATACGAAACGCAAAATATGATAAAGTTATGAATAATCAATTATAATATAAAGTGATTTATGATTTTCGCCTCACGTGGTGGCGCGTATCGTATGATTTTGTTACATGTCAAAAAAGTATTGGTTAAGAATTCACTGATTAATTCATATATCAATATAGAGTATATAAGGTAAGTGTATTATTTGTTGAGAAGTTAACAGATTCCACGTAACTTGATTTACAATCAATACAGTCGTCCCTCACTAATATCAACCTCGTTAATATTATAAAATGAATTTCTATATGGGGTGTCAATAGAAACCAAGCAATTTGTTTCCAAGTAAATTTTTTTTCAAAAAATTTATCAAGTTTGGTTTAATAGTTTTGAGATATTTTAATTTAAAATTAAAAAAAAAAAAACTAAAAACAAAATTGCTTGGTTTCTATTAACACCCCAAAATTGCTCATTAATATCACTATCAACATGAATGTAAAAGCGATCCAAATATGTAATAAAGGAACGACTGTAAAGATAATGTTTTATATAAATTATGCCACGTTTCTATATGATCGCATGACGTGATTATAGATCGTTTTAAACCACATAACATAATACAAAACGAAAAATAAACCCTTATTTCCACTACGGGGTAAATAACGGTAGATCTCCGGGATGTATGATGACCCAATCCCCGAATACAAATATTAATAATATTTAACATTAATAATACGTATAATAATATATATTTATGTTTCGAAAGAAACGTTTTAAATTTTTATTTATCAAATAAGGTATAATAATTATTTAATTTTATTTGCCTTAAAATGCAGAGATACCGTATTCTGCCATGTATAAGCCCATCTTTTGCAATTTTCATATCCGAATTTCTCATGATCTAGTGCATAATTTTGGTATTATCAACTTCTGAACTTATCAAAACGATTCGAATAAAATTGTCTTCGGTTTCGATATTATTTTTACTATAGCATAATATGTACAGTATGTAAATAAATATTATCGTTATTCATTCTTATATAATTAGAGCTTTGGCTCGGGTGGGTTGACCCGTACGGTCAGAATTTTTGACGGGTCATGAGTCAAAATTTGCCTTGACCCGAGTCAAACGGGTCAGTTAAATAGTCGATATAGAAAGTGAATGAGCTCAAATTACAAATTTTTTCGATACAAAATCCGATTTTT